CCCTTACAGAAGAGACCCTGCTTTCCTCTCTAGTCTCAAATCCCATAATTTCCTTCAGTTCTTTGAACATCTCGTGCTGTTCTTTGTCCCAACCATAGTGCATACAAATCCTTTTTCTGGCTACTCACTAAGTCCCCTTGTCCGTTGACAAGCTTACTGCACATTATTAGTGTGCAGAAGAAGTAGAAGAGGAAAAATATTTAGGGGAAATATTTCACTAAACTAAGAAGATTGAAGAAAAAAAGGATAAAGTTTGTTTTCTTCTGTATCATCTCTAATTTCTATGCACACCTCTCTTCATCTGAGGTCCTACTCTCCTCAAATACTTTGAGCTGTCTCTTACTTCTCCCCTTATTAGCAAAGTAGTCTCTAAAAAGTAATGTTACCACACCTCTGAGTGAACTCACTGAGTTAAATATTATGACGTGTTTATTATACATCAGGCTTTGTTCTAGGCCCAGGGAGATTATCAGTAAGCAAGATAGGAAACATGCCAGCTTTCAATGAACACACATTCTCCTGGAAGAGACAGAAAAGGAATGATTAAATGATCAATGGAGGGTCACTACAGGTAGACATGGTTAGTAGGAAGGAAATAAAATAGGACCGTGTGATGGAGTGATTGCTGGGAAGGAGGTGTCTAGTTTATACTATGTGATTCAAATAGTCTATTAGAAGCTGAGATCTCCATAAGGAAGTAGCCTTGGCTATAAGAACAGAGAAAAGCATTCTAGGCAGAGGGTATAGTTGGTGCAGAGGCCATGAAGTGAAAATTAACTTCAGGGGGTAGGTGAAAAGGCAGAAAAGCTGGTGCAGAATTCATGAGTGGAAGACTAGGAGAAGAGGTCTGTGGGCTCAACCAGCAATGAGCCATGCAGGGCCTTGCAGGCCTGGTAAGGGGTTCTTATTTTATTCCTGGTACAAGTGGAAGCTAGTAGAAAGTTTTAAGTGAAGAAATTATGTGATTTTATTTAGAACTGGGGAAATATGTTCCACCTTTAATATGGAAAACATATTGAGGAGGGGTGGAAGTGGTCACAGGATATGAGTTGGGGACTTCAATTTATCTCATCCTAATAATGACAGTTCAATTCAGTGAAACACTGAAAAAGGAGAGCATATGAAAGTAATATGTTACCATCTTGTCATATTTTTATTTTAAGATTTATCTTCATTGAGACATAAAAGTGATTTTGCACTCAAAGGAATTTCAGAATTTGTGTAGGAGGTTTCACTGGGAAAGGAGGAAATGAATCACCGTGTGTTAAATGGTTGGCTGTTGGTTTAATGGGGAGGAAAATATTGGGAAAAGGGGACCTTCATGTAAGATAGTTTTAATAATAAAGAACATTTAGTGGAGAATGGGGGCCAGCCTGACTTCCCTGAAATCACCCCACAGAACTCTGGAAAGTGCTGAAATTGAGGTTGTCTCAGTTGAGTTGGAACCTTGTGTTCATCCCTGTGACTGGCAGATTTGTCTTCTTAGAGCCTCTAGTTGCTTATTTAATTAAACAAACCAGTTCTACCCAATGAGTGGAGTAGAATGTAAAAATAATCAATTTATGGCTCTATTAGATGTAATGATATCATTCTGACATTTAGATCTCTCCAAAGTAGCTTTCTGGACAGTATTTTCATAGAATAACTAGAGGCCCAGTGCACGAAATTCATGTACGGGTAGGGTCCCTAGGCCTGACAGGTGATCAGAGCCAATCAGGTTCCCCAACTCCCTGCCTCCTCTTTCCCTCGCCGCCATCTGTGCGCTGCCACCGCGAGGTACCCCACCTCTCTGCCTCCTCCTTCTCTCGCCACCCACGCACTGCCACCACACAGTTCCCCTTGCCTGCCTGCCTCCCTGCCTCCACCTTCCCTTGCTCCCTCAGGGTCCCACTGCCATGTTCCACGCCACCCTCTGGTGGTCAGCCCACATCATAGTGAGTGATCGAACTCCCGGTCTCATGGTCGAACTCCTGAGGGGACACTTTGCATATTAGCCTTTTATATATATGGATAGAGCTGAAAATGTCTTCAGTGTCATAAACATTTACTCATATACTCATATCTACTCACTTTATAAATAAGAAAATGGAACACTAGGAGGGGAAATGAACCAGACAAGGGTTTTTTATCCAATTAGAATGAGATGCACACAGTGATTCAGGTCACATGACTCCTGATTATGTATTCTCTCTATTAAGCCTACCTAGCTTCTTACATGTCCAGATGATAATTACAACATATGTGATATTCTTTCCTTTTTTCTCCTACATAGAGGCACCTATGAACTGGTTAGTTTAGGAAACTGAATAACTCTTCTGCCACCCCTTACAAAATAATAGAATTCCCTTTACAAATAATGTATAAAAGTATATTACTCAAGACTGTACTGAGTACAATAATTGCACCAATGGCTTGTCTCCAATGTGAACCATTCAATAGAGCTTTCAATTCAAGGACATCCAAAGACCTTGCTTATTTTGTTCTTGTTCGTGGAGTAAAGCAAATTAAGAGAGAGAAACTCATTCTATTTGTTGTTTTGATTTGAATATAATGGAATGAAACCATATTTTTTTATTAAATAATAAAAAAATGAAAATTAGGCCACCTCAAAAGGGGAGTAAGCTGTTAGCCAAAGCCAATGAAGATCAGTTATTTAATAATCTATATTTGCCTTTTTAAAATTTTTACTTTTGTCCAGATACATTACCAGCACCTTCTTTGATCCCCTATAATCTCCAAATGAGGCCTAAGGGATGCATAAATCTTTGTTCTGCCACTAAAGATCCCTCAGAAATATTTTTTGATTATGAAAATGAGTAAAGATACGTGGAACTGTACATTCTCAAGTGAATATGTACAGCTTTTAAAATAATCTTTCAAATAATCAAAAGCACAACTCAACATCACAGATGGGATTTCAAAGAAGTAGAAACCAAGACTGGAACTTAAAATTATACCAACCTTAAAACAAAAGTAAACAAGCCTAATTAAGGGTCTATGTTTCCTGGACTGAAAGACAAGAAACTATATTTCACAATCTCTCAGTGTGAGTCAGGATTCTCACGCCTTTCTCAAAGCTTTTCCACTTTTTACTTACAGCTCATCAGAGAACACACGGGTTTCGTGGAGATAGAGCTTTGTGAACCTACAGCTGGAATTTTAGTTTGATATTTATAAGTTAAAAAGATGACTGGAAGTGGGAGATAAACCAAGCAAAGGAAAAAAAAAACTCAATCAAATTCTTACTTAGAAATATATTGTTCACTTACAGCTGGCCAGATTGAGTTAAACAGAAAGATTATTTCTATTGAACATGTGGAGAAAATATGGGTGTGTGAAGTGACTATAAAATTTCTTTCTCTTAATTCTGGATGATGCTACTAACAACATTTGTACTCTCTGTAAATTTCTCAAACTTCTGTGTTGCTTTTGGTGCATGTTAAAAATACAAATACAGCTCTGACTGGTTTGGGTCAGTGGATAGAGCGTCGGCCTGCGGACTGAAGGGTCCCAGGTTCGATTCTGGTCAAGGGCATGTACCTTGGTTGTGGGCACATCCCCAGTGGGGGGTGTGCGGGAGGCAGCTGATCGATGTTTCTCTCTCATCGATGTTTCTAACTCTCTATCCCTTTCCCTTCCTCTCTGTAAAAAATCAATAAAATATATATTAAAAAAAATACAAATACAAACAAGAACCTCAGATACAGGTGTCTGTACTACACAAGTCCACAATAACAGTTTGGTGAAAATAACCATGGTTATGACGTTGTTGGTTTGTTATCCTTCTGTACTACCCTTCTAGAAAGATTTGCTTTCTGCTCTGAATCTACTCTTTTATATCCTCTTGAGATAAATGGTTTGCCTGATCTAACAGAAACAGTTTATTTATGGCATAAATTGACCTTCATACCTGTGTCCCACTCAATACCTGCATTTTAGATGTTACCCATTTTCGATGTTATATTCCATCTTGCAACCAGCTATTGGTTTCAATATTCCATCTGACAGCCATTGGCATTAGAGTAAATGACAGTGTGGCAAAAACAAAACAAAACATAGAAAACAAAAACTGATTAAAATGTAATAATGGCTGTCATGGATTTTGTTCTAAGTGGTAAGGTACATTGGATGAGAATCAGTGTTTGACTCAGGAGTACCTTAAACAGGAGGGATAAATATCCTACTTTTATGATCTTGTCTACTCTACCTTATGTGAAATTCTGAAGTTGTGATGACTTTTAACAAACCCACTTGAAATGTTAGCAGTCTCATTTAGGGGGTTTGTCCACTGTATTCTATGGGAAAGAGGTCAACCTACGGTAAGGCTGAGGCATGTATTCAGAGGGAAAATTATAATGAGTGAATAGGTGCTCATATCAGATTTCAAAAAACATTTCAACACTATAAAATTGATTATAAAAACAAAACAATATTTTCTACTTGTTCTGTGATATGCAGTTGTATTCCCAGAATATAAAGGATGAGTATGGATGTGTGTGTAAAGTTTGTGTGTCTAAGTGTGTGTGGTGTAGGTGTGTGTGTTAACCCTAGAAAGTTTAGCATCTATTTATTAAGTGAATAATTAGTTTAACTTTTGAAATGTTAACTCATTCCATGCTTCATTTTTGGCTGAAACTGAATCATAAAACTTGATCCACATTAAGGAATTACATTGGGTTGTTACAGAAGGAAATGGTGGCAATGAGGGTATGGATGAGATCGAAATAATATTCATGCCCATTTCCTATGCATGTGGCAAGACTTGTAGAGCTTCATAATTCTCTTTGCATCTTTTCTAACCCTGATCATCTTGCATGGTATCCCATGTGGCTCCCAAAGGCGAAACATAAAATCTAACATGTCACTCCACCATCATCAGCTCCACAATTGCTAAAGCCCATCTCTGCCTTCCTTGTTCTCCTTCACTTAGAATAAGAAGCTGTCCTCTGGAATATGCATCTCTCTTGTAACTTACATCTCCCTTTGTTTCTGTTTTCAAGGATGGGAGGAACAGTTTTATTGGACACCAACTGGGCGGGGTAGTAGAAGTGCCAAACAGCAAGGACCAACGGGTCAAGTCAGCCAGAGCCATTCAAATCACCTACTACCTCCAGACCTATGGCTCTGCCACCCAGGACCTCATAGGGGAGAAGTGGGAGAATGAGTTCTGTAAGCTTATGAGGAAGCTCCAGGAAGAGCACCAGGAACTCCAGCTCTACTCTTTAGCATCCTTTAGCCTCTGGAGAGACTTTCATAAGACCAGCATCCTGGCCAGGAGCAAGGTCCTGGTGAGCCTTGTGCTGATCTTGACCACAGCCACCCTCTCCAGCTCCATGAAGGACTGTTTGCGCAGCAAGCCCTTCCTAGGCCTCCTGGGGGTGCTCACAGTGTGCATCTCCATCGTCACAGCAGCAGGGATCTTCTTCATCACTGATGGGAAGTACAACTCCACCCTGCTGGGAATCCCCTTCTTCGCCATGGGTAACTATCCATCCTTGTGGTAATCGGATTCTTACCTGTTTGGGGCCAGGTAGTACATTTCTTGAATTCTCAGGTGGAAGTCTGATTTAATTTTGTATCGGTGTGTCTGCGTGATTCGGTACGATTTTACGTGGAGTGGGTCTGCTTCTCCTTATTGTGCCTGTCAGGAAATTATGGGCTGACCGTTTTTCCATTTAGGTTGAAGAACTGAATGCTGTCAAATATTGTAAATTGCACAATACTGTAATTCTCTACTCAACGTCTTTGAAAATTATAGGTCACAGATTATGGAGTACAGATTTAAGGAGATCCCAAACCTTCAACATTTTCAAACAAAATTTTATAGTTTATATTTATGGGCATCCTCAAGTTGTTGATGATGAAATTGTCATAGGATGAAAATTTTGAGAACTTTTATGTTCTAATCTCAAAGAACTTCTTTATTAAATATTAAGTCATTTCAATTTTTTTGCTGACAATATAATCCATTTCCCCACATCTATATAAAGAAAGCCTTCCCGCTGCCAATTAAAAATATGTTCATCTCTGATGAAAAAAATTAATAAGCATCCTCAGTTAAGATTATTCCTTCTTGCACGTTTTCTGCCAGGCATACATAAATGGTCTAGAAAATGGTGTGTGTGTGTGTGTGTGTGTGTGTGTGTGTGTGTGTTTGCAAAAGATAAGATCAAGTCTTAGAAGGAAAGTGAGTGATGGTTCAGCAACAAAACTGATGGAGCTTTTCAGAAAAGAGATGATAATGGGGATAACTGTGGTGCTGCAAAAGAGCCCTGTCAGATGTGATATAATTCCCTACATGTAGTGATTTGGAGGATGAGCTGTAAAAATGGCCTCTAGGTGGTGAACTGACATGAGCAAGAGAGCATCAACTCTAAAGTAATTGCCTTTCACTCCCCAGGTTAAAATCAGCTCTAAATTACAGTTCTATTGTTAGATGAAAAAGACACAGGAGTGTGGTCACAGAGTCCTCTAGGTGACCTGGCCCCTTTTTGTTTTCACCTAACAAGTGTCTTCAATAACAACACTGGGGAGTGGATTCATATTGTAGGTACTGAGACCAAACTTCTTCATCTGGAAACCCAACTTCGTTGTGGTCCTATTAAGTTAGTTCATCTAACTGAGCCTCAGTTTCTTCTTTTATAAAATAAGAATAATTATTCTAACATCTTAAAAAATTTGTTTGTTTAGCTTAGTAGGCCATACCTAAAGCTAGTAGCACATAGTAAACACTCAATAAGTATCAATACATTTTAGTGGTTAAGCTGGTGTGTTAAGTGTAGAGGATTCAATGGTTAATAGGAAACAGCCCTCGGCTTCAGGAAATTGAAAGTCTTCCTGTATTTTGCATCTCATCTTCAAATGCATGTTCATCTTGTTAATAAAAAGGGTATTTCTTTTTCCCAAAGAACTATATGAAAAGACATTTTGCCAGTGACAGGATGAGTCTAGATTTGAACCATTTAATAGTTGTTATGTTTTTTGAGCTCGGTCTCTTTACTTGAAATAATAATATCAGATTCATAAGAATCACACAGCATGAATCACAAATGAAACGTGACTCATTCCATATGATGTCACTCATCTTTAGGATATTAAACTGAAACTTATAGACACAGACAATAGGATGGTGGTTACCAGATAGAAGGGGATTTGAGGGTAGTAAAAGGGGCCAAATGCATGGTGACGGAAGATGTTTTGACTTTAGGTGATGGGCACACCATGAAATATACAGATTACGCATCATAGAAATGTATACTTGAAACCTATATGATCCTATTAAATGTCACCCAAATAAATTTAATTAAAAAAATAAGAATAAATTTTAAAAAACATTACTCATTCAACATTGGAAAATTTGATACCTTAGAGCCTACTATGGCTTTTTTACTAAAACTGGTAGTAATAAAGTAGGCAATGGAAAAGTTTATCAGAAGAGTCTATAATACATCAAAATTTAAATTTCATACAAATAAGGAGAAAGCTTGTCTCTTGTGATGCTGAATTGCAACATAGGCTCTACAAAATCAGAGTGGTGTTTCTATCCCTTAAAGAAATAATAAAAACACTGAAAGCCATGATGAGGGAAAAGGCCTGACATTGCAACACATACTTCTCATTCTCTTTTCTCTCAGTGACTCTAACCCTGGACAGTATGACTTTTCTTTCATACTCTTTTCTCTGAGTGACTCTAACCCAGGGCAGTGTATGTGAAGAATTTAGGAAGCCTTTCAGTATTTCTGCAATTCAAACCCTTAAAATATACCAAAAGAAACATTTGTGCTATGTTCTGAAACATAACAATAGACATGCAAATATATACTTATTTAAAATATTTGCTCTGTCAAGGAGGAGGTTGTTTTGTTGTGTTTTATTTGTTTGTAAAGTAAAGATCCTAAGACTGAGAACTAGTGAAATAAAAGGAATAATACCCAGCACTAGGAAATCTGGGTTTTCATCTCAGCTTTTCCACTATTTTCATGTTTTGTTGCTCAAGTTAGTATAGCCTTTTGCCACATTGTCTGAGTTTTTCATATATTAAAAGAAAGATTTTGAAATTTTGAAGATCCTACAATATTATTCATTTCATTCTTTAACTGAGGTTAGAATTTTATCATTCCTTTATAAAAACAATGAAGGTATATATTATCCTCAAATATATAATCTCCATTCTCCTTTGTTGACTGCTAGTGTGCGTGTTTTGGGGCAGACACACATGCAAAGCCTTAGACACACAAAGCCTTAGACACAAAAAGCACACCTCGATGAAGGTGGTGAGGCTGAATGTGATTTGAGCATCAATAAGTTGAGTTTGGCAGATATATATCTTCCAGTGGTACACACAGCATTGGTTAAACTAGTCTTTTAAAGGATTACAGTTAACAAGGGCTCAAAACTGCATAATCCAAAATCAGTTGTGTGTAAAGGAAAGAAGTCCAATTCCTTTGGTAAACCTCTATTTCTATTCCCATTTTCCTACAACGATTTCTCTGAGGTCGTGATCATGCGCTCTATTATGTTCTAGGATTCCAACCATTCATCCTCATTAGAACTTATTCCTGTAGCTGAATAAATATGTCACTAATGGTGTTCTGCTCTTCAGTCATCTTATTTTTGATGACCTCACTTCCTTCTGTACTGCATCTGCTTGTTCTTTTTTGTGACCATTCATCCACTTAATATACCCAAGGTCATTTCAGAGTCATATATACTGTACCTCTATATCCTGCATTTTTTAAAGCCTGTATCAATTTTTATACTTTGTCCTGGTGTCCCCATAAGTAAATTTATGTTTGTGTGATTGTATATTACAGATGTAGGTTTAGAAAAGATTATTTTAGGCATATGTATTTAATCTAGAAAAGATATCAGAAAGAGAAATCCAGACTTCTAATATTTTTTTAGAACCACCTTAAATTGCCCCATTTAGCTACTGCCTAATGTCCTTTCCCTATACAAGCATAAACTAATGAGAATGCCACTAATTTAATTTATAACCAGTTGTCAGCACTTGTTTTAATTGCATTTGCTTCATGTGGATGCACCTTCTCTTTATGCAAGGAGAAATATGAGCTAATATTGCACACAGATGCCAGGCTGGTTCCTGCTTGATCTTGTTGGTCTTCTGTGGCTAGTTGCCAAGGATATTAGTAGCCTTGGTTCACTATTGTTTTTTCTGCCCATCCTGAGTTTGTTTTATATTCTAGGAGCCTTACTTTAGTCAGTTTGATGCCTCTGGATCCATGCAGATGACTTGTTTTCTCACATGAACTCAGAGTTTCCAGATATGAGACTTTTATTCATCATCTAAAACTGAGTTTCATATTCATTTATTTATTAATTTATTCAAATATTTATTGAGCACCTACTATGTTCCAGATATTTTGGGTTCTATAATAAAAGGCATCCAATAGAACTCATCAAGTTGTTGCCTGTATGGATTTTACATTCTAGGCCTGCACAGGGCAGCCATCAGACAATAAGCACATCTAATATAAACGATGTTATATTATTGATAAGTGATATAAAATCTTACCTAATAATAGACAAACATGTAAATTAACTATCCCTCCGCTACGCTCACCAGCCAATCAGGAGAGTATGCAAATTAACCCAACAAAGATGGTGGTTAATTTGCATGCGTAGGGGCAAAGTGGCAGAGTGAAGACTGAAGGCTCCATCCAGAGCTGCTGAGACTGAAGGCTCCGTCCGGAGCGAAGGTCTGGGTCCCGGGTGCCGAGGAAAACCGGTGCCGGCAACCAGGGGAAGGGAAGGCCTATTGCACGAATCTCTTCGTGCAACGGGCCTCTAGTATAAACATAAAACAGGATAATGGATCAAGAGCACAGGTGGTCAGAGAAAAGCTTTTTAAGAAAAGATGAACTTGAAGCAGAGAGATTAAATGAAATGAGTAAAGGGCCACATGGCAACCTCAGAAGAGAGTGTCCCTGACAAAGTGAGCTATACATGCAAAAGCTTTGAGATAAACCTTGCATGGTGAAGTTAAGAAAGAGAAAGAAAGGGAGTGTGGCTGGAGCAGAGTGGGCAATTGTCTGAGTATTATAAGAAGGGGTTGGGGGGAGTACTGTATAGCCAGCTCATATAGGGCACTGAGAACTTAGGACTTTAGATGGAAAGCTATCTGAAGCATTTGAGACAAGAGAGTGTGCTCTGACTTAGACTTTAAAGCATCTTTGTGCTACACATTGTAGCTATTATGTTATAGCATCTTCCACTACCATATGGAAATTAGTCTGTAATAGAGCGAGCATGGTTATAGGGAAACTGTGTAAAAGGTTACTGGAAAATCTTCATGGGATATAATGGTGGCTTGAAATAGTGTGGGAGCTGTGACAGTTGTTAAAGGGATTAGACTCAGGATACATATTTGAAAATAGAATTGACAGGATTGGCTAAAGGACTGGGTATGATGTGTTAGGAAAAGAAGAGTCAAGAATGACCCAAGCTTTGAGGACTGAATATCTAGTAGAAAGAAGTTGCCACT